CTCCTTGTGCCCACTTCCAACTTCAGTGGCAACAATTTTTTTTGTCAAATGTTTAACGGGTTCCGGACCGCCATTGTGCGAGGATCTCCGCATCATCTCGTTACTCTTCAAGTCGATAATCAGTAATTTCATCTGGTCCTTTACTATGAGATATATGTATTCTGCGCCCAAAAAATGTGTTCTAATAACTTTGGAGCATGAACATGATGCCAAATCCATAGGAAACGGTGCGTAGAGAAAAATGCGTGACACACCATGTATGTCACGCGGTCTAGAACTGGTTAAATCTATACCAAGGAAGGCCTGAAAATATGGATTGTACTCGGCCCACTTGACTTTTCCGATAACGGGTTCAGGCGCTGAAGTAATTGGGGCTCAGTGGATGCCCCTTCCTGTCCTTTGTACTAAACGAGGCTGAGGCTTCGAGCGCAGACGGCCACAGCCACCGAAGGATAGTTCCGCAGAGAAAACACAGTTTCCTTGGAGTGGGTTATTGGGAAAACTCCGGCGCTGGATCGCCGAATTTGCCAGATCGCTAGCGACCGGCGCCGACCATCCCCATCCTGATCTTTGGAGTACAACCGCCTGAAACAGCCAGTCTACTAAAATGCCCGATCGCTTGTCTCCCCAATTACCAGATCGATTCCTACACTTTCCCCGTGGCGCAATCTCTCGAATTGTCGAGTCTCCCAAATAGCCATATCCCTCAGTCGCAAACTATGAACCCCGCCCACGGGAAGGGAATCGCTGTCGAATGATCCGAACGACGATGGCGCTCCGGTTAAACAGTTGTTTGGAAACTTTGTCTCGATAATTCCATTTTCTTCTGATTTAGCGAGCTAGGGATGAGATGAGGTACATCAACGACGCGTCGTGTGGACTTCGAGCAGATGACATGGACGAGGAAGAGGAGGATAGTGGAGACGATCACTAGCTCATCATTCGAGGCGTGTTTATGTAGATTGTGGTGCAGTTGACGCCTTTCTGCGGACACCCGTACAATTCTGTACGTACTTCCAATAAATACGTTGTTACTTATACCTCCGCTACTCTCTGGTATAAATACCATTTTGAATTATCTCATACACCAGCCGGCTTCGCCGGCTGACACCGGCGCGCCTCCTGAGATACAGCACGGCTTCGTCGAGCGGGCGCGGCTCCGCCGCGCTTACCTTCTCCACACATTTCATTAGCCGCCTAGTATCAGGCTTTTCTTTTACCTGAACAGGTGGTCAACATTCTTTGATAGCATCATACCTGCTACTTTCAACACTATTACGGTGTATGGAGTGGTGGTAAGGAGCGTTGATCAAGTGGACAGATGAGAGAAAAGCCGGGTATTAGTCGAGCATTTGATCATACGAATGCAGGTAGGCGCGAGCCACGCCCCGCAAAGCCGGGCCGTATCACATAGAGGTCCGAAGTGCCTGGAGTGCTCTGGAACCGCTTGAAGAATTTTTGAGGCTGGCTCACCTTGACGCACGCTCCACACACAACAGGTATGCCTTACAGAACTGGTGACCCCTCGATGACCTTAAACACTTTTTCCCGGTGTCTGGAGTGCTCTGGAACCGTTTTGTGAATTTTTAAATTTGGCTACCACCCACCTCGGGGCACGCCGTCGCTGATCTTAAACTACTTTTTCCCGGTGTCTGGAGTGCTCTGGAACCATTTTGCGAATTCTTTCCAAATTTGGCTCCGCCCACCTCGGTGCAGGCTCCGCCCACAACGGGAGTGCCTCGCACATTCCTTACATTTGATCACTTGGGGACCATAATCCACT